ATTGATCCATCCTGATTCCTTAAGCGAATTGAACAAATCCCAAGTGTGTCAAGAGGGGAATTATTTGCTGTATAGATAATTCTACCTTTTAGTTCTTTAAAATCAAAGAACCATTCTCTATTGGGGGTCATATGGTGGCTACAAGTTGAATCTAACAACCATGAACTGGAATAGCTGGTTAATGACGTAGCAGCGAATGCGAAATCTGAATCTGCATAGTCATACTCGGCCACATTTGATTCTGAGACAACCTTTACCCTTTCAGGTTTGCCTTTATTCTTTAGCCTGGGACATTTTTTCTTCCAGTGCCTTTTTTCTCGACAAAAGGCACATTCATCTTTGCTCAATCTGGACTTTGACTTCGATCTCACTCTTCTTCATTTATTCTGACTCTTCGAACGACCTCTAACAACAAGAGCTTCTTCTTCGACACTTGTGTTTTCTTGTTTGTCTTTTTCTCTCAATTCATAACTATACAAGGAAGCAATTACTTCACTGAGAGACACATCAACCTTCCTATGAAGTAGAGTAGTTTCAAGATACTCAAACTCATCAGGAAGTGATCCCATCAACATCAGAGCTAGATATTCGTCTTCAAAAGTCACGCCCATATTCATCAAATCAGTCACCAGCTGATTAAAGCTAGTAATGTGATCATTCATAGTGGTACCTGGTACATAGTTGAAGCGGAACAATCTCTTTTTCATGTAGAGCTTGTTCTGACCGCTTTTCTTCAAAAATTTCTCCTCCAGTGCCTTCCACAATTTACTTGCAGAAGTTTCCTTAGAAAATGCATATTTCTGCTTTCTAGAAAGACACGATCGAATAGTACCACATGTCAATCTATTGGTCATCTTCCATTCTTTCTCCTCAACATTATCTGGTTTCTCTTCTTCAATAGCAATGTCTAGACCATGCTAAAATAGGGCATCTAGAACCTCACTTTGCCATATGCCGAAATGACCGGTGCCATAAAAAATCTCCACTGCAAATCTAACATTTGTCACAGCATTTCTTGCGGATGTTTTTGTGTAGTATGTCGTTTTTGCTATAAATTCTATTTAATAGATGTCAATGTGGAATGTAAATTACCCCAAGGAAATTTTTTCTGATGTGGAAGATCAGCCTAAGCTGCAACCACAGAGCATACTAAAATAAACCAAGAGCTCCGATACCAATTGTTGTGGAATTCGGGTTAATTTCCACCAATAATAACAAATTCACCTTGAAAACTATTATCTAGGTGACTAGTGTGAAAACGATTGTACTAAAAATCAACCTAAGGTAGATTCCCAAGAAAGAGGAGGGGTCGCAATGGTCCCTCTTAAAACCCACTTTCCTTAGACAGAACTACCAAGACAAGTAATTTTAATAGGATAATAATTAACAACTATACCCAACAATAGCTATTAAATAGACATAAAAGAACACCAAAAATTAATGAGGTTCGACCAAAATTATGCCTATGTCCTCGAACACTACTAAAATAATTTCACTAATAGAGAAAATATTACAAAAAGAGAAAGAGTACAAATAGCCTTTAATAATGAAGAAGACTTATATTTGTGGGATGCTTAACTAAGGTGGAGGAGGGCTCTATTTATAACAAAAGAATTTCCCCTCCTCCTTATACACAACCAATGTGGGACTTTGCCAAAAAACCAACAATTTATTTGTATTTGTATTTGTTTTTAATTTTATGTAGGTCTATATGATAATTTAATTTTTTTATTTATTGTTATGTTTTAAAATACGATGCTTTATTAAAACTTGAACAAGTTTTTTATCTTTATAATTATTATCTTATTAAGATAAATATTTTGATATTTATTTATTTTAAATAGTTTTTATTTAAGAAAAAGAGAAAAATAATTTTACTCCTAATAAATATCAAACTCATATTGATATTAATTATCTCAGGATAATATCAACTTTGTAAAAGATAACATGATTGGTATAGCTCATGATCTTTATATGGAAGAGTTTGATAACTTATTAACAATTCCATGGAGTATTTATCCAATGTGCATTCGGTTATTTCTTATTTAAAGATTACAAAGCTTCCAATTGTGAGTTGTATTACTAATCACAAGTGTTTTTTCCCTCTCTTAATTCTCAGAATTTTGTCCTGATTAGTTTAGATCGATTTGTCGTACACCTGATTTGAGTAAATGAGTCTCCCAACATAGATTTTCTATATACACAAGACCTCGAACTCAATACTTACACAAGATCTCGAACTCAATACTTGCTTAAACAATATCAAAGTTCCAATATGGGATGTTCTTTTTACAATCATTTTTGTCAATAATTTTTATTTTTATTCAGCATAACACATCACCATTATACCATGATGATTACAAATAAATATGTCAGTCATTGAACTCTCGACAGATAATGCACATGCATGCATCTATCGGGAGTCCAACAGTTGAAATACTTGTTCGCGATCATCATGGTTTAGTGATGCATGTCATGCTATCCTCATTTCAGGTTCATACGACACTGACATCATCGAGACGGTTGTTATCACTTGCAATATCCGTAAAACAACCGATTTGAATCATCCTCATATTTGTATTGGAAGCGATGTCGCAAATGTGATGCATCAACTGACCTCTTAGTAGCTTGATATGTTTGTTTTTGGGTTCCACCTAGTCGAAGCCCATCAATTCTTTTATGTCCATTGCCACATTCGAATCAAATGCATTTGTTGATTTGCTAATGTAGTTGTCCACGACTTGGTTCGCTTTGCTTTATCTATTTCTATACCTTATATTATGTCTATAATTTTCTTTCTTGTATTTCAGATGTTTTATTTTCTAATATCATTTACGATTACATAAATTGTCCTTTTAAAAAAAATAATTTTGATTATATTTTTTTAATGTATTTCAAGTTATACAAACAACCATTCATGCTAAACAATTAATAATAATGAGTTGAATTTGAATATTTTAACGAGTATAGCTTGTGACCACATTCATGTGTGGTCCGGTTTCCGGTGGCACCACCGGACTTGCTATTTAGTTGGTCTGCATTGCTCCGTCATTCTCGTAGTCTTTATAATTATGATCTTATCAAGATAAGGAAGATGGTATTTATTTTTTGAATAATTTCTATCTAAAAAACAGAAAATATTGAACCCACGTATTAAGATATTGATATTAATTGTTTCAAGATAATATCAACATTGTGAAAGATAACATGATTGGTATAGCTCCATGATCTTTATAAGGAAGAGTTTGATAACTTATTAACAGCTGGTTTTTTTCTGTCCTAGTGAAGTAAATGGGTAAATTATTTGAGAGAATGTGGAAGTAGAAGTTTATTTTGAGATCTACGATATTTTCTACAATGTTTATGAAACTCGTCACATCAAAGTGACGAGTTCTAGGGGTGGCAATCGGGTGGGGGGAAAACCGAAAATTGTGGGGATCCGAACCACATGATGAGAAATAACTGAAATCTTCATCCACGGGGATGGGGATGGGGAAGTTATATCCCCGAAGCTCAAATGGGGATGGGGACATGGTTTGCTATATCTGAACCGTGGGGATAACCGAACCGTATCCGTGTGACTAATCGTGGGGATCCCCGAAAAATATCTGTGAGATTACGTGTTGCCATTGTTACATCTCAAATGAACTAAAATTGAAGTTTATATTTTTTTCTCATTTAATATACATTGATTTGTTAAGATTGAAAAATGTTAAGATTGTACATATACATTAGGTGTTAGATGAATATTGACGTTTGAAACTTTCATATTATAGATAATATCAATTTAAGACAATTAATATATCTTACTAGTTTTAGGTGTTGTAAAAATGTTTGTTTATTTTTTTTTGGATGAGGATTAACCGAAACCCGCAGGGATTCGTAAGGGATGGGTACGGGGACAAAAAAATTCCCGAAGATGTATAAGATGAGTTCAAAATCGAAGCATCCAGGAAGCTTGCTTTTCAATTTAAGATGGTCCGTAAGGTTAAAGAACTTAGAATAGATATTTCATGAGATTGCTGCATTGAAAAAAGATTTTCATCTTGTCCAGAGACATGATGGCCCAAGGCACTAGCACAGGGAGGTTCCAACGGTTGCCGATGCTTTCTTTATCTTTCGAGGTCTACATTCGAGGTATTGCCGAAATGGATCGGTGTCTCTCGACTTTTATTACTGTCCCAACATCAAGAAGCTACCCGACTCGATTTGTAAGTTGCAAAATTTACAAACTCTGTTTTTCCATGGTTGTGGCCAAATTGATACATGATCAATCTGAGACTTTTATCATTAACTACGAATCAACGAGATCTTCGGGGTCGTGGATTAGAACACTTGAAATCCCTTCCAATTTTATTCATTTAGGACTGTTGGAATCTGGAAATCTTGTTCCATGGGATACAAAAACTCACACCCCTTCATACAAGGTGTATTATTGGTAGCAGAAAAAGCTAGTAGACATCATTACAGTTGACATACAAAGTAAACTTAAACCATACCGATAAGTTGACACCAAAAGTATAGACCAAACTGAAGCTTAGTACATCTTAATTTCATAGCTACGTTCTGTTGCATATTTAACCTGAGTGTCTTGCTCCTCCTCGCTTATAAGCCCGTTGTTATTTGCGTCAGCATGATGAAGTCCTGCTCTAAGTGCTCGCCGTCCTTGGAAACGTAAACCAAGGCTGCTGGAGGCTTTCTTGAGCTCTTCCTTACTGAGGCGACCATTTCGATCAAGGTCAAAGCGTTTAAAAATCGTCATCACTTGGTCGACATTGATAGGATCCACAGGTGGATCGTTAGGTGACCAATCTTCTTTCTTTTTGCCCCCTTTCCTTCTGCACCTTTTATCGACATTGAGAGAATCCATAGGAGGAGATATGGAAGTATAGGACAGGGAGACCCCAACCTCTCTATAGAAGAATATATGTTTTTCTTTGCGCCTTCCTGATCTGATATTTATAGCAGGGCCAAGCTTTAATAGAGAAGGGATATTTATTAATTTCTCCTAATTATCTTCTTCCTTGCAAGATTATGAAGAATCAGAATTTAATTCAGATTACATTCTGCAAATTGCCACATAAAATATTATTTCCACCAGAAAATGGGAGAGAATAAGGTTCCTGGTAATCTTCCACATGTATTCATTTTAGTTTCTGGTTAATTGTATTTGGGTTTCTTTTTGATGCTTGATGATTAAGCTAATTTCTTAGGGTAAAGTACACAAACAGTCATTAAGTCCATCTGCTATTAAAAATTATAAAATGACCATTCGATTAAAGAATGTTACTTTATTAAGTCCACCAACTATTAAAAATTATAAAATTGTCATCCAACTATTTATTATTTTTTAAATTCGTGCATTTCCTTTAAAAAACTGACAGTTGTGTAACTTGACGTTAACATTAACATGATAATAAGATTATTTGAGACTGAGAAAAGATTCTATTATATCACAATTTGAAAACTATAGAAAAGTGGATTCCTCCGCTTTCAATGACAAGATTTGGGAACCATTGTAGAGGTGGTAAAGAGACTCAAAATTGAAAGTACGAAATTTGTGCCAAAACAAATTAAAATGAAATTAATTCTAAATATTTTTATTATTTTCAATGCATAAACATTTATAGTTAAGGTTTTATTAGTTATACAAAGGTTGAAATTATACCGTGAGAATTTATATTATCCTTTCGTAATTATTATTTAAAATATTTCCTTAAAATTTGTCTTAGTCGTCATTTTAAATATATTAAAAATTATCATATTTTGAATAATTTCTTAATAAATTATATTTAAATTTAAAAAATTAAATTTAGTAAAATCTCAAACAACTTATTTTAACTATCAATTAAAAAAAATCTAAAAAGTTATTCAAATAACTAAACAAAATTGAAATTTTGTAAATTATCACATAAGATCATTCGCTTACCACATAATTATCATTAAAAATACATATTTAAACTTAATTGTTAAAACACAAAATAATATAATTATACTTAAACTGGTTACTGATATTTATTTAAAAAATATTATACAAAAAATTATATAGGTAGTGAAATGAGAAATTTAATTGAAATTTTAAAATAAAGGAGTGATAATGAAATTGTTATCTTAAACCTAACTTAAAATAGTCAATTTAAAAATTAAAAAAGAGAGAACATTTTAGATAGAGTACATTTTGTACTTTCTGTATATTAAGCGTTTACAAATTAAAATAAAATAATATTGAAATAAAAGGGGAGTGTGAGAAGTGAAAAGAAAAAGATGGAGGGAGGTTTAGGTTTAATTATTAAGTTGTTAGCTTTGGTGTTGTTTACATCTAGGGGAAGCACAATCAAATCGTGCTGCTTGTAATTGTGTCACCTTGTTACGCTTACTACTATACAATCATACAAAATTAATCATTTTTTACTTATTGTTTTTGTGCTTGTCGGCCATCGTCTCCACCATCCCATGTTAACCTATTGCAATCACCGTTATTGTTATTGTCATCGTCACCTCCATTGTTATCGTTATTACTACCATCATTACTATCGTCACCACCACCATCACCACCAGTTAATAAAACAAACCCATAGCCCCAAAATCCACCAAAAATGGTTAAACCAAATCCGTTCATACCACTATCACCACCACCAGTAGTAACTAAGCCAAACCAATGGTTAAACCAAATACGTCTATACCACCACCATCAATGACTAAACCAAACCCACAACCCAAAATCCACCAACAATGATTAAACCAAATTCGTCCATGTCACCACCACCATCAGTGACTAAACTAAACTCAGTCCCAAAATCTACCAATAATGGTTAAATCAAATTCGTCCCCAAAATCCACCAACCATGGTTAAACCAAATCCGTACATGCCACCACCATCATCAGTGACTAAATCAAACCCACATTCCCAAAATTCACCAACAATAGTTAAATCAAATCCATCCATACCACCACTATCAGTGACTAAACTAAACCCACAACCCCAAAATCCACCAACGATGGTTAAACCAAGTTCGTCCATGCCACCACCACCATCAGCGACTAAACCAAACCCAAAGCCCAAAATCTACGAACAATGGTTAAACCAAATCCATCCATTTAAGCACCACCACCACCAGTTGTGGTCAGTTCAACTCCGTCGACTCCTTTGAGCATTTGCCAAGTACCAAAAGATTACCATTATATTGTGAGAAGAGATAAGCGGTGTTGGTGTTCGATGGAGAGTTATGACATCGGGTGTTTTGAAAAGATTTGGAGAGCAAAACCAAAATATGATGATTCCATACAGATTGATAAATATTGTTGTGATGCTTTTCGGGCGGTGGATGAAATTTGTAGTATAATCTTTGCACGAAATATATTTTTTCACCGACACTGCTCGCGATTTTATTAGGATTTCGAGGTTGTTTTATGCATCAGATTCTTCGTTTTTTAGGCATCATTTTTTGTTTAGTTAATTTTAATAAAATTTCAGTTCTAAAGATATGAAATACTTATTTGCCGTTTTTTTTAGGTATTCAACTTTGCTTCAACCGTTGCTCATGCATTCTTCGATCACAAATTAATTATGACTTTAAGCAGCAATTTCTTTAGTTTTTGTACTAATATAATTTGCCATGTCATCTCATAATTTGCCATGTCATCTCATGGGGTGTTGAAATTCTTCAATGGAAGGACTCTCTGACTATTATAATTTTTATGTAATTGTCAGAGTCCTCCTCCCATTAAAGAATTCTTAAACATTGTTGTCAGTAACAAGGAAAAGAGATATGATATGAAAGTATTTTCCATGTAAGGTTTCATACGTAAAATGATATAATAAATAAATTAAAACTAGAAAGAGTCTTTTCATGCTGCACCTCTAATGCAGGATACTTGAATATGAATTACCTTGAAGATGAACAAGACAAATTCACCGACTCCTCTTTTGGTTCATTTTGCATGATCATGGACGATTCCAAGAAAGCTGGAACTGTTGTGTTCTTAGAGTTGTTTTACTTGAGTTTTCTAGTTATTAGCATTTGCAATGTGATCTCGGAAGCTGCTTGTCTTGAAAGTGAGAGACAAGCTCTTCTGAGGTTCAAACAAGACCTGATAGATTCCGCAGACCGGCTTGCGTCTTGGAGCAGCAGTGGGGGCAACTGTTGTGACTGGAATGGACTTGTATGTGACAATGTAACCGGTCGTGTCGTTCAGCTTCATCTCGGAAATCGCCATCATCCGGATTATGATAAGGCCGCCCCAGGCAAGCCTTTCGAAAGATCTCGATTGAGTGGTGATAATATGTTAGAGAGTGTGGTTACTGAGGTTCATTTCTCTAATGTCACGAGATTGAGGTTACTTCAGGCTTCGGGAAATCCTGGACTGAATTTGAAAGTGAGTCCTGGTTGGTTGGGTTCTACCTTTCCAACTCAGGACTATAGCTTCGTCATCATGGAATTTAGGGCCGAGATTTCCCCGTTGGCTACGTTCCCAGAAGGATTTTCTGTTTCTGGATAAATCCGATGCAGGGATCGTTGATACAATTCCTGACTGGTTTTGGAACTTGTCATCTCAGTTCTTTTATATGAATATTTCTCACAATCAAATACAAGGGAAAGTTGCTCAATTCTCAACACAAATCCTCCAGCTGGTTATGCATCATCCATTGATCTGAGCTCTAATTTCCTCCAGGGTTCATTACCCTGTTTGCCATCCAATGTCGGAACGTTAGATCTTTCGAACAATTCATTTTCAGAGTCGATGTCACCCTTGTTGTATTGGAAGAAAGTCAAAGGGGTGGGCACCGTCTGTGTGAAGAAAGAGGCTGCAAAGTCATATAAAGGCTGCCGAAAGTGCAAATTAAATGCACAGAAAATTTTCAATTTTCGGTGCAGCTATATTTGAAAGTGAGAAGGGTATATCTCAAAATTAGTCATTGAACTTTATGGTATTTTCAAAGATTAGTCCCTAAGCTTCAACTTATAAATACCCTAGCTCACTTAGCTTCAAAATCATCCCAAAATTTTTCCAGTTCTCTCTCAAGTGTGTTTTGTAAACACCTGTAATTTTTCTCTTTAGTAAAAGATCTACAGCAGTCCGGAGACGTAAGCACAATTGCATGAACTCCGTTATCAATTTTTCGGGTATTATTTTTTCCGCTTTTATTTTGTATTCTCACTAATCTGACTATAGGAAAATTACTTGTTACTCGTTTATTTCCCAACAACTGGTATCAGAGCTTTTGGGTTGTGAATTTTGTCAATTTTTTGCGAGGTTGCTATTCATTACTATTCACGTAAATAGTAAATTTCATGAATAGTAAAATTTTGTCGGCGATACGAATTTGTCGACGAAGGTGTTATAATACACGGTGGTTCGTACAAATTGTCAGAAACGATCTGAAGAAGCCAGATTCAAGTGGGAGCGATGGCTGTAAACGAAGGGAAGGTGAAAATTGAAAAGTTCGATGGTGCGAACTTTGGCTTTTGGAAGATGCAGATCGAAGATTTTATGTACCAGAAAAATCTATATCAACCCCTCTCAGGAAAGCAACCAGATGGCATGAAAAATGAAGACTGAGCTCTTCTCGACCGACAAGCCCTCGGAGTTATCCGACTGACGTTGTCCCAAAATGTTGCTTTCAACATAGCAAAGGAAAAGACCACGGCGGATCTTATGGCGACTCTCTCCAGTATGTATGAGAAGCCATCGGCCTCAAACAAAGTTCATTTGATGAGGCGATTATTCAATTTGCGGATGACGGAATGGGCATCAGTGGCTCAACACCTGAATGAACTCAACACAATCACAACCCAATTGAGTTCCGTGGAAATTGAATTCGATGATGAAGTTTGAGCTTTAATTCTCTTATCATCTCTACCAGACAGTTGGAATGCTACTGTTACAGCAGTTAGCAGCTCGTCGGGAAATAGTAAATTGAAATTCGATGATGTTCGGGATCTGGTACTGAGCGAAGAAATTCGACGGAGATAATCGGGTGAAGCATCAACCTCCTCAGCCTTGCACACGGAGTCCAGAGGGAGAACTTCAGAAAGAAATTCAAATTGTGGCATATCGAAATCCAGACGGGGAAAATCAAGAACGGGAAAAAAGATTTTACCTGTTATAATTGTGGCAAGAATGGTCACTTTAAAAGGGATTGTCGAGCACTGAAGAAAGATACCGGCGCACAGGAATCTACAAACATGACAGAGGAGACAGGTGATGACATGATTCTAAGCGTCAACAGTCTGATTTAATCATGGATCTTGGATTCAGGGGCATCTTTCCACTCCACCCCATGCCGAGAAATCATGGAGAACTATGTCAGTGGTGATTTTGGGAAGGTTCATCTAGCTGATAATGAAACCTTGAAGATCGTCGGAAAAGGAGACATCCGACTAAAGCTGCCAAACCAAACAACCTGGAAGCTGACAGGAGTGAGACATATTCCTGGCCTCAAAAGAAATCTGATTTCTATAGGACAGTTTGATGGAGAAGGTTATAGTACAACCTTTTCAGGCTGTGAATGGAAGATTACCAAAGGAGCACTCGTCATTGCTCGTGGTAAGAAGACTGGTACTCTCTATGTAACTTCAAATTTAGAGAATATCATTGCAGCCGCAGATGCTGATGGAAAATCAAACCTATGGCACCAAAGGCTTGGTCATATGAGCGAGAAAGGGATGAAGACACTTTTATCAAAAGGGAAGCTGTCGGATCTAAAGAATGTAGATGTCGGACTATGCGAGGATTGCATCTTTGGCAAACAAAAGAAAGTCAGCTTTGCAAAGAATGGTAAGACACCCAAGGCTGAAAAGTTAGAGTTGGTTCATACTGATGTATGGGGACCATCTCTTGCAGGCTCATTATATTATGTCACCTTCATCGATGATTCTACAAGGAAGTGTGAGTTTATTTTCTGAAGAAGAAATCAGAAGTCTTTGATACCTTCAGAAAATGGAAGGCCATGGTGGAAAATGAGAATGGTCTGAAAGTTAAGCGGTTGAGGTCTGACAATGGAGGAGAGTACAAAAATAGGAGATTCAGAGATTTCTGCGCAAACAATGGGATCAAGATGGAGGCAACAGTTCCCATGACACCGCAGCAGAATGGCGTAGCAAAGTGCATGAACAGAACTCTGAATGAACGTGCCAGAAGCATGAGGATACATGCCGGATTACCCAAATTTCTATGGGCTGAAGCTATCAACACTGCAGCTTACCTGATCAACCGTGGGCCCTCAGTTCCTTTGGATGGCATAATACCAGAGGAAGTTTGGAGCAAGAAAGAAATAAACCTTTCACACTTAAGAGTGTTTGGTTGTATTTCTTATGTACACATAGACTCTGCTGAAAGAAGTAAACTTGATGCTAAGTCCAACAAATGTGCCTTTGTTGGTTATGTCGGTGATGAGTTCGGTTACCAGTTTTGGGACTATGAAAATCGGAAGATCATCAGAAGCAGAGATGTCATTTTCAATGAGAATGTGATGTACAAAGATAGGTCAACTGTAGAATCAAGCAGCTCCAATACCAAAGCTGAAACAAAGGAATTTGTTGAGTTCGAGGAGATTTCTAGAAATGATGTTCAGATCAATCCTGAAGCAGTTCAAGAAGAACCAGGCACACCAGAACTGAGACGCTCCTCCCGAATTCCTAAACCAACCCAACGGTATTCTCCTTATTTGCACTACTTGTTGTTGACTGACAATGGTGAACCAGAGTGCTATGATGAAGCAATGCAAGTGGAGGATTCAGTCAAGTGGGATCTTCCATGAAAGATGAGATGGACTCGCTTATGTCAAATCAGACATGGGAATTAGCTGAATTACCACCAGGCAAGAAAGCGCTCCACAACAAGTGGATTTACAGGATCAAAGAAGAGCACGATGGGAGTAAACGCTACAAAGCAAGATTGGTTGTCAAAGGCTTTCAGCAAAAAGAAGGTATTGACTACAATGAAATTTTCTCTCCAGTCGTAAAACTGTCTACAATCAGACTGGTGTTGAAAATTATAGCTGCAGAGAATTTACATCTTGAGCAGTTAGATGTAAAAACAGCTTTCTTCATGGAGATTTGGAGGAAGAAATCTATATGAGACAGCCAGAAGGCTTCATAGAGGCAGGCAAGAAAAAACTGGTATGCAGGTTGAAGAAGAGCTTGTTGGTTTAAAACAAGCTCCTAGACAATGGTACAAGAAGTTCGATAGTTTCATGAGTAGCAGTGGTTTTACCAGATGCCAAGAAGATCATTGTTGCTACATCAAGAGGTTCGACAATAGCTTCATTATTTTATTGTTGTATGTTGATGACATGCTCGTTGCAGGCTCAGACATGCAAGAGATTATAAACTTGAAGCAAAATTTGTCGAAGCAGTTTGCTATGAAGGATCTGGGCGCTGCAAAGCAGATTCTTAAGATGAGGATTAAGAGAGACACAAAGTCGGGGACTTTGATGTTATCACAGGCAAGATGCAACATGCTAAACCAGTAAGTACACCTTTAGGTGTTCATTTCAGACTCTCCAAAGAACAGTCACCAAAGACGGAGGAAGAACGTGCACACATGGTGAAAGTGTCGTATGCCTCAGCAATTGGAAGTCTGATGTATGACATGGTTTGTACTAGACCAGATATTGCTCATGCAGTGGGAGCTGTTAGCAGGTACATGAATAATCCGGGCAAAGTACACTGGGAAGCAATCAAATGGATACTCATATATCTGCGGGGTACTACAAACAAAGCACTTTGTTTCAAAGGTGGATACGATACTGACAGGCTATGTAGATGCTGACTTAGCCGGAAATGTTGACATCAGAAGAAACACTATAGGGTATGTCTATACTTTAGGAGAACCGTAGTGAGTTGGGTTTCTCAACTACAGAAGATAGTTGCTCTCTCCACAACTGAAGCAGAATATGTCGCTGTTACGGAAGCCAGCAAGGAGATGGTTTGGCTCCAAAGTTTCTTAGAAGAGTTAGGCAAGAAATAAGAAAACAATGTCTTGTATTGCGACAGTCAAAGTGCTATTCATCTAGCGAAGAATCCGTCTTTTCATTCCATAACGAAGCATATACAATTGAGATATCATTTTATCCGGTCTCTTTTGGAAGATGGGATTTTGAAACTTGAAAAGATTAGTGGAGCTCAAAATTCGGCAGAAATATTGACAAAGACGGTGACTACGGACAAACTGAAGTTGTGTTCAGCTTCAGTTGGCATGCTAGAATAACAAGACCAGAAATGCTGCTGCATGATCAAGGTGTGAAGACAGATTAAAATCAGTTTCAAGTGGGAGATTGTTGGAAGAAAAGTCAAAGGGGTGGG